TATGTTTTTCTTCTTCTCCATCACTAAAATTTTAGTTTCTTCACCTCTAAGAAACTAAGTTAAGAGACATCAAATGAATGGTCCATAGTTTATACGTATGCATAACAAATAAAATAAAAGAACCAAGCTCAATATTGTTCATATTCATCGTATTCACATTGACTTGTTGTATATTACACCAAAAGATATTCAATATTTTTTTTCACCATCCCAAAGTTTTAGGTTTTTTTATCGCTAAGCAAAAAACATAATAAACTTATATAGAAAAGGGGAATATAAAATAAAAGGATAAAATAAAAATGGATTGTATTTTTTAAAACAAAGAATAAGAAAAATGACTTGAGAGACAAAGAGAGAGAAAATGAGAGCAATCTTCCAACAAAAGTTGTAGTCTGCTTCATATTTTCTAACCCTAAATCTTTGTCTAATTTTGATAATTCTCATGAGCAAGAGGTTGAAGAAGTGCCTACTAAAGAGGAGTTTTTACAAAATTTTGATGTTGAACAAAAAGAGATAAATGAAAGTCATGTTGACAATATCATTAAACAAAAGAGTGATGTGAATGAAGTAAAGTTTGTGCTTGAAGATGAATGGTCAATGGTTCCTCAAAAATATTTTTATAAAAAAATGATTGTTTTGAACTCTAACAAATTTTATCTTTCTACTAATTTAGTTGATGTATCTTTTGTTATATTGAAGTATAACTTTTCTCTATTTTTAAGACTTATAACCTTGGAAATGCACCTATTGAATTATTAAGTGAAACTATCTTATAAGATGAAGATTCATGCCAAAATTCTAGAATTTGTTGGTAAAATTAACAATTCTTTAGTAAAACGGTAGTAAAAGATGAAAATTCATGACAAAAATCCATAATTTATCGGTAAAATCCAAAATTCGTCAATAAAATAGTAGTCATTTTTCCACTATTAATTACTATCATGTTGTTTTCTAGTGTATGTCGGTGCTAAGAAAATGTCATTTTACACTATTAATTACTATTATGTTGTGTTTTAGTGTAGTGTAAAATCCAATAAAAGGCATAATCCATTATGCTATAAATGGGGTCCTGTAAATTGTATCTCACTCGAGCATGTCAGTTCCACTATTTTACCGACGAATTATGGGGTTTTATCATGAATCTTAATTTTTTACTATTGTTTTACCGACGAATTTTGAGTTTTTGTCATGAATATTCATCTTCTTCTACTATTTTGCTGATGGATTCTAGGTTTTACTGAAAAATTATGGGTTTTTTTTCATGAATCTTCATCTTCTACTACTATTTTACTAATAGATTTTGGGTTTTACTAACGAATTCTAGGTTTTTGCAATGAATCTTCATCTTTTCAACATTTGATCATGATATTTATGCATACATTTTAATATTTTTAATACTTTTGCCACATAAGAAAAACAAAGTATGTAATAGAGAAACTAGTACACAAATTTAATTTATTTAAACAATGACAAAGAAGTACTATAAAAACCATAATTGATGGAGATAGTGTTAATCATGGTTTATTAGTATGTCTTAATTTTAGCACTAAATCTTTAACTAACATAAGAAGTTTATAGGAACAAACTAAGGGTAGCAAAATGGACCCAAGCCGATGGGCGTGCCCGTTTTACTCGCACTTTTGTGCAGGGCGGACCAAAGGTTTAGGCCCTCCCCCTCTAATGTGTCCACCCTGACCCGTCCTGTTTTATTTGCGGACTTTTGCAGACACGAGTATTTACATAAACTTTTGCATTTTTTGGCTTAAAAGGTGCAGTGCTGGCAGATTTTCTCGCCCCACACTCTCTTTTTTTGCGGGGTGGACCTAGATTTTAGGTATACATCTTCAACTATGCTCGCCCCGTCTTGTTCTGTTTTTTGGCGGACTTTTTTTGGGTGAGTCTAAATGGGGCGGACATACCCGTTTGCTACCCTTAGCCCAAACCATAGCTTAACAATTGGTCCATACTCCTTGTAGGATTTTGATATCACATCTAGAAAACAAAAGGTTATGTATGCAATGAGTCTATTCAAATAAAATTCTTCATGTAGTAATGAAACCATACAAAGATGGTAACTTTTAATTTTCAATTCTAACCATTCAGACAATATATATTAAGAATTACATTTTGGAGCAATTAGAAAAAACTTTAAATTATATTTTAGAGATTGAATTTGCTACAAATTAGATACGACTTTACCCACTGAGTAATTATAATTAGGGGTTCAAGTATGATGTTGACATTAGCCACGTGACCACGCCAGCATCTGTCACGCTGATACTGCTACCTGTGTGCCTAATAATCACAAATCTTCCACGTGGCATGCCACATCAACTTCTGTTAACGAACATTGACAATATGGACCAAAAGTGTGGACGAACAACATTAGAAGGACCATTATTTGAAGAAAAAATTTTGGGAGACTAAATTGAATTATGTTCTATCTATAGGGACCAAAAACATATTTAACCCAATTTTATTTAGTTTTAATTTGGGAATGTAATAGTTTAAATTTAGGATTAATTGATGTTTGTCTCGTTGCATTTATTTTTAAAAAAAATATTATGTATCCCAATATGGACCTAAAAAGTGGTGTTTGTGGCCCCTTTAAGTTTATGAGAACTCTTACTATAAGTAAGCATTTTGTAACCTCTTTTGAACAAGTTTGAAATGATTTAAGTTTTTCTCTCATGAGAAATGTGAATGAGCTAGGTCTCCTCGTTTTAGTTCTTGGGTTGAAACCCTAAATGAATCTTATAAATGACTTCTTTACCATTGTGGTGATTCTTCATCGGCTTATCAATCTTTAAGGTTGTGGCACCTTCCTTTTTTCATCTTCTCTGCCTCATCCATGTTTTTGTTCTTTGTTTTTCCTTTCATGTGTGACTTTGTTGGAAGAAATCACTTGGTTATATCAGTCAATATACGTGAAATCAACCTCTTGCACATCAAGTTGTCAAGAGAAAATAATCACCTTTGAAGGAGACCAACTAACCTAGATAAAAAGCAAAGTTTGGTCCCTTTTATTTACGGGGGAGTAAGGCGAAGCTTATCCTATAAGATGATGCTACCAAGTGGACTCTATTTTCCCTACTTACTACCACTAATAGTAACTATCATGCGAAAGAGTAACCCTTTGTAGAATATGGAAAAAAAATTTCACTAATGTTTATTCTTAAATAAAGAAAAGTCTTATCCACTAAAAACTAAGCCTAAACTCACCCCACCCCCTCAAGCATTGTCACCTCTCTTCCTGACCTACCCTAATTGCGGTAAATAAGATAATGCATGTGAAACCTCTCTTTAAGGGAAATAGTTCTTATCCTACTCAAGGGTCATCACAAAAAGAGGTGTTTAGATTTGCCACTACTTTTCGATTGATCCCTTCCACAAATCAATCAAAAGAATTATAATTGTGGTAAATAAGATAATGCATGTGAAACCAAAAAAAAAAGTATTTAGATTTGTCCCTACTTTTCTATTGATCCCTTCCACAAACCAATAAAAAGAATCATAAGTTTTAGAATCTAAATAAAAGACTTTCTTTCATTGGGACGAAGCTAAATAAAAATACTTGTCGTCAAAGAAAATATCACAACGGCATTGTACTTATCAAATAAGATATCCTCCACAACCCTGTATCTTGAGATAACAATCTTCAACGTCAATTACCAAAAAAAAAGTTATTCAGATGAAAATTTCGATTCCAACCCTCCAAAAAAATTTGACTACAAACATCATAGTAATAAAGCTAAGAAATTTTAACTTCACCTTAGTTTTAATAAAAACTAAAATTTGTTTTAAAATAAATATTATTCTCATTGTAAAAATTATTATTATTTTTTATTATATAATTTAATAAAATTACAATCTTTTAATAATATAATATTAGTACATTCTTTATTCTTTAATCTGTATATAAAACATAAACACATTCAATTTTTTAAAAAAAGAATATTAACAGTTAACTCATCACCAATGATTAAAATGCCTTATTGCAGTAAAATCTAATTAAATTATATTTACCCAAATAAAAGTAAAACCTCAGTTTATCTTGTAAAGTGAGAGCTCAATTTAAAAGAAACTAGTCCAAAAAAAACAATTGGACAATTGCATAACCATAATTAACCATACCTTTTTTTCCTAAGACTTTAACAAACCGAAAAAGTAAAAAGTTCAAAAAAATATCTTCTATTAACATCTATTAACCGACCACTTTTTTATAATATTGACAAATTAAATCATCAATATATAATATTAATTCATTGAAAATATATAAAACCTGATTTTTCTACGCACTAAATTTCAAATTTCAGAATTCTTTAGATCATGGCCGGTGCTCAAACTTATTCATGTTCTCCACTTTTACTTTTTTATAAGTGATTATTTCACTCACATTCTGCCCCACCACCAAACACAACCCTACCACTTTCCTCTGCTCACATGGAGGAGTCATTGATTAGCTTCCAGACAATTCAAATAAAGCAATAAATGACAGCTAAGTTTCCCACTAAAATAACTTGATTGGATGTGCATGGTTATATACTCTTGTATGTATATACCTTTATCCATTACATACATTAAAATAGGTTGTATATTGTAAAAATATTTTTAGCACACTTTTTTAATGGATAGGATTTCCACAACATTTGGAGTATTAATAATTGTTTGATAAAATTAAATAGTTTAAATTCAAGCTAAGTATTTTATTTATAGAATAAAAAATAAATAAAAATATTTTATTGAGCGTTTATATCTTGATCAAGCGATCATTAATATTTTAAATAAGTGAATATATTTATTACGACTGTCCATAAAATTTAAGACATATTAATAAAATTATATGAAATATTTTAAAATAAGCCTCTATAGATTAGTATATGATATTTTGATCTTCTATATATAGACCTCACTAGAGAAGCTTTTTGTGACATGCTTCTTTATCTTATCCTCTAATCTACACCATTTTCAAAGGTTCCCCTAGTAACTTCTGAAAGAAAATGGCTGGCATAGCATTTGGAAGGTTTGATGATTCTTTCAGCTTTGGGTCAATTAAGGCCTATATTGCTGAATTCATCTCAACTTTACTCTTTGTTTTTGCTGGTGTTGGTTCAGCCATAGCCTATGGTTAGATAGTTCTCTCATCATCATTACAATGAAAAGAAAATAAAGAATATTAAATTTATTTTTTGAGTAACATAGATTATGATTATTAAACTTTGACACAAATTTATAGGTAAGTTGACATCAGATGCAGCTCTTGATCCAGCTGGTTTACTAGCAGTTGCTGTTTGCCATGGTTTTGCATTGTTTGTTGCTGTTTCTGTTGGTGCTAACATTTCTGGTGGACATGTTAACCCTGCTGTCACTTTTGGATTGGCTGTTGGTGGACAGATCACCATTATCACTGGTGTCTTCTACTGGATTGCTCAGCTTCTTGGCTCCATTGTTGCATGTTTTCTTCTCAAGTTCGTCACCGGAGGATTGGTAAGTTCAATGGAGAAAATGTAGTACATTGCACTCAAGGCAGACCGTCTTTGAGAAGACGTGTAAGACAGACTGACGTCCAGAGCTAAAAATTTTATGACCTAATAAAATATATGTCACACTTAAACTGTGACTAATTTACTTCGAGAATTTAAGACGACCCTGGTTGTGCTAACACTAAAATTGCGATTTGTTGTTTTTCAGGAAACTCCAGTCCACAGTGTGGCAGCAGAAGTAGGAGTTATTGGAGGAGTTGTTACTGAAATAATCATAACATTTGGTTTGGTGTACACAGTTTATGCAACAGCAGCGGATCCTAAGAAAGGAGCAATAGGCACAATTGCACCCATTGCTATTGGTTTCATTGTTGGTGCCAACATATTAGCAGCAGGCCCATTCTCCGGTGGGTCGATGAACCCAGCGAGATCTTTTGGGCCTGCAGTTGTTAGTGGTAATTTCCATGACAACTGGATCTATTGGGCCGGGCCTCTTATTGGAGGTGGGCTGGCTGGGCTTGTCTATGGCAATGTCTTCATGCGTTCTTCTGAACATGCACCTCTTACTAATGATTTTTAGGGGTTTTTTTGTGAGCTTATTTAAATTATGATTATTTATGTTATGTATGTGATTCATGTTTGATTTATGATTATTGTTTTTCTTTCTTTTTCTGATTTTTTTTTACTTTGATTGTAAAGTTGTAAGAGTTGATCATTGTTTGGTAAGAAAGTTGGATTAATTGAGGCTTTTTATGTTTGTCGGAATCGTATGAAAAGTGTTGGTGTGGCCCATTAATTATTCAATTATTAGTCTTAAAATGCAAACTTCTGAACAATAGAAACAAGCTAGTGAAAACCATTCCAGATTCATGTATCCTTTGAAAACATGATAGATAGACAGACAGGGAACCAAACAATTCAGATCTCAACGGATTGATTCCTTCAAAATGGTAAATTCCATTCTACTAGACCATATGAGACTATATAGCAAAATACTACAATCCTTATTTTATCATATAAATAAATTTAAAATATGCCTTTTGACATGAAATTGGATATAAAATTGTGGTTGCTCAAAAATTTGGAAGTTTTGGGAACTATATTTTAGATATTCAAACTGGAACTGAAAAAAACTGCCTAACATAACTTATTTCATGTGTCTGATATAAATTGTCTATTTCATATTCAACTTTTAACTTTAAAAGTGCACGACTTTCCACTATAGTTTTCTGCCTCTAATTGTATATTTCACTTTGTTTGAAAATTTTGACTCTAATCCTAACAAAATCCATAATAATTCCTTGTTTGAAGTTGTTTAAAAATGGAAATGTCCAACTTCTATGCATACTATGTTAAGAGTGATTTGTTCTTTACTATATGATTTCCAATCATATAAAAATTAATCCTAAACTAATTCACATATTCTATAAATCCATACTCGAATTTAAGATGAGGATAAAAGTGTAAATGTTTTTGAGTTTGTTATTGAAATTACTCTTGATTTGCGACTATGTGATCTTTCGATTTGTTGAGAGTTATGATTTCTTAATTCTCTTTTGATGGAAATGAAGAGGAAAAGCCAAATATATCGTATGAATTGTTCTTCTACAAATGGAGACATTTCAATATTTCTAATTTGATATCAGAATTGCACAATTCCAATACTATTCATTATTGGATAGAAAAAAGGTATATTACTTTTAATACTATACATGAAGGAATATTATACTATATATATACAAATTGGAATAGTCATGGTAAAAAATAAAGTCTAATAATCTACGGTTGTATTATTTGATCCCTCGTCAAATTAGGATATTGGTTTATGGTATCTACACAATAATCTTTTATGATATATATGCCCTTAACCATATAATTAATATTAATTAGATCACTTTACTTTTGCCTAATTAATTAATGACCCTAACACATTAAATATTACATTTGTGGAAAATTCTAGCAATCTCTCACTGGTCACATAGGTAACTTTACACACATGCTAGAATTTATGAGCTTAAATTTTGTCATTATATACCTCAAGCATACCAAAATAACCTCGTCCATTAGTTATGTCAGTACATAGCAACGAAGTGATTTTAGTTATGTCAATCATAACTAAATCTGTCAATGATTACTATGAGTGACATAACTAAATGACATAGATTCATCATGAAACATGTAGCATGAAAATCACAAGAATGTGGCATGTATGTCGATTTTCAATTGATCCTACTTTACTTTAGTGTAAATAGTTGAATATCAAACTTTATATAAACAAAAAAAAATCCAAAACCAAAGTATGCATATATAATACCAAATATAAAACATAAAATTCATAAATGAGTAACTCCAGCTAAACTATAGATTCCTTAAACTGTAAAAAACTCATATAAGCAGTGTGTTCATGAAAGACCTTGGGTGGAAGACCTTTTGTAAGAGGATATGATATTATGGAGTTTGTGCCTAAATGTTTTATTGAAATATCTCCAATTTGTACCCTTTCCTTAACAACTAGGAATTTGATATCAATATGTTTTGACATGGTCGAGCTCCTATTATTATTGGAATATAGGATGGTTGATTTATCGTCACGGTATAACTTAAGTGGTTATTCAATTCCTTTCATAATACGTAGTCTAGTGATAAGGTTCCTCAACCAACTTCCATGGTTAGATGCTTCAAAACATGCTATAAATTTTGCTACTATATGGTGGATGAAACAATAAGAGTTTGCTTGGCACTGCGGCAAAAAATTGCACCACCAACCAACATGTAGATATAACATGTAGTAAAATTGATTAAATAAATTACCAACAAGTTTATAAAAAATGGTTAACGGGAAATAAAAAATTAGAGAGAGAGAGAGAGAGAGAGAGAGAGAGAGAGAGAGAGAGAGAGAGAGAGAGAGAGAGAGAGAGAGAGAGAGAGAGAGTCCATTGACATTGGATGTAAGTTTAAAAGTCTTACACCAAATCTCAATCATTAATATGATTGAATCAAACAGTCATATTAAATAAAATAAAAATATATGATCATTTCTTTTACCTAAAAAATATGACCATTTGATTTATTTCTATTAACTGTTTAAATTTGGTGTAAATCTTTTAGATTTACATCTAGTGTCAACGTACACACCAGTGTTCCATAATAAGTTGATCACCAAATTCAAACAATAATTAAATAATTAATTAAATAATTTTCATTACACATTTGTCACATATGATTAAACAGACTTCATGAATGACCTTAAATAAATTAAAAGCACTAACATAACCTCTAAAAGTTTAAGCATTATTGTGCCCATGCAGCACATACAATCGTACACGTAAGAGCAAAGGAAATTGGTTATGGCAACAACAAAGCTCGAATTGTCATATAACTTATGTTATTAGATAACTTTAGATAAGTTAATGCAAATAGATTTTTAGTATCAATGATCTTTTTGTTTTTTTAATCTATATTAACATTAATTGAATTACTTATTTATATATGTTCAGATAAAATTGGCTTTAAAGTAGACTGACAAGTCAATCAGGTATTTGAAAATATTATACTCAGGCTTAAAAATAAGTCTATCACAAGTTACATGACAGACTTAGGCTTTAATATTTTTAGTAGGCCAGATTTAGGCTTGACAAAGCTTAACTTAGTCCGACCTATTCTCACTTCTATTGATGGTGTATCTTAATGGTTGTGTTCATGGAAACTCTTAAAAAGTTTAGGTGATAAATCTGTAATGAATTTATTAGTCCTGTATTTGGACTAACTCTCGTATCAGATGATTCGTAGAGAAGGAAAGTCAATGGTGATTTGTCGTTCCCTCGAAAGAGGGGAGTTCTCTCGAGTTATCTTAAGGTTTTAAGGTAATACACTTAATAGAGATTGAAAAATCAGAAAACGAATTAATTCTCTAGTAAGTGACTTATTATTTGCTTACTCAATTAAATTTATTTTTTACTAACCTTTGGTTGGTTTTTAAGTGTTTGTGGAGCAAAGGAGCACCAAACGCATTATGCATAGAGCTCAATATTAGTCTAAGACCCAAAGAGGCTAAAAAAAGGTTGTCCAAAATATTTCCTATGGAAAAATGGTTATCTTCTGGAAGGAATATAAGAAAGAAAGAAGCAGATTCCATAATTACTTCTCAATTTAAAAATTTGCAAAAAAATTTTTCAATTCTATTTGAGAAAGAATCAAGGGGGTGTCCTACAAAGCTTACCTAATGTTTGATCTTAAAGTTCGATGTTACCTTTCGTAGGGAGAAGTAATATCTTAGGTTTTAGTTTTATGCCTAACTCTAGACTGTTTATGTCCATCTCTTATAAGACAATTTGTTCCTTTTACTTAAACAAGCATGTGATTTATGTGATAGTCTTGTTTTTTTTTCATATTTTATTTATGAGAATGAGGGAGAAAATTACTCTTAGAGAGAGTAAAGTATACTCTATACTCATGTGAGATAGACTTTAAGCACTCCAAACTTTACCTCTGTGTTTTATCTTTTACCACCTCTCTGAGAGATGTGTTATCATCATAAAAAAATGAGAATGTGGATCTATGTGCTTGCATGTATAAATTTGATGATCTCGACTTTGATAACCTTCTTGGTGTTTTGACGACAACGATGTTTATGCTTGTTAAATTCGGTGATAATAACTTTCTAAATCTCTAATGATGATAACCAACTTAATGTAATATCAAGCCTCATCAAAACGAGACTAAAAGTTTCATTGAAATGTTTATATGACCGGTGTATTTGACAAAGAAACTTGAAAGTCTTGAAGCTGTGAAAGAAAGGAAATGGAATTAGAAAAATCCTAGGATATTAGGATACTAAGGCAACTCACACACAATGTTTTCAAAGTGTGATTAGAAAGTGTGTGCAAGACATACCACAATACATGACCTATTTAGTCATAGTTAAATAGTTATTAAATAAGTTTCATTACAAATTTATCACAAATTACCAATTCAAAATGGTCTCAGAACCCAAATTTATGCACGTAATTGATTACCAATATGTGGTAACTGATTACCACATACTGGCATGGAAATTTTTTTTGAGTTAGAATTGAAAATATAATAACTTGAGTTTTGTAACTCTGTTTAAGACGCGATCAATTGCCTTGAGAAGTTATAGTTCAAAGAACTATCTTATTGTAAAAAAATATGATCATTTCATGGCATTTACTTAGAATAAGTGATAACGTTATGCTCACATTTACTTAGGAATTGTGTGTGTATTATTTGTTTAATGGATCAATTGGACAGCTAAATGAAATGAGAAAGCCCTAGGTTTTTGGTAGATTTCCATGGTAAAAAAAATGTGAAAGTGTAATGGCACTTCAAACTCGACAAGTACCAATACTTTCGCTTATGAAAGAAAGCAAGTGTATTAAATGTCATGAGTGTCGATTATGAAAGAAAGCAAGTGTATTAAATGTCATGAGTGTTAACACTCATAGGGCTTGCTGTAAATGTAGTTCCTTATTAGGAGTATAAGACTCAGGCAAAGAGAGGAAGATAATCCCGTAAAACTCCACCTTAGTGTACATGATCTAGAAAAATGGGGAAAAATAAATATGTAAAACCTCGCCTTATTGGGCACAATCAATGCAAAGGGAAGAAGGTAATAATCTCGTAAAATCTCGGCTTAGTAGAAATGATTAGTAGTTCGTTACGGATGTTCTTGCTAGTTACCTCCTGAGTTCTACATGGCTTGCGAAACTAGGGTATCAACGTTCACGTATTGTGTGAAGTTGAATGAGCTTCGTTTCCTTTTGTTTTACTTATCAGTGACGCGAGTGTAGTGCTAGTATAACGAGGACAACAATAGAGAATCCTTTGACAAACAAACTTGTGGTTTAGTTCGAACTCCAATTATATCTTGAAATATTTGAAGACCATTTTATCTATGATGTTATTCCACCGTGTTTCTTTGTTTAGTTTTTCTTGTATCGACATCTATGTTGTATATATACTATGTTATGACTCTTGTATCTTGTATCGACATTTATGTTATATATGTACTATGTTATGACTCTTGTATCGACATCTATGTTGTATATGTACTATGATATGACTCTTGTATCGCACATGCATCATCTGTCATTTAAGACTTAAATGACACTTTGGGCTGTACTGTTAAATTAAAAGAACCAAAGAACCAGAGAGAATCTCTAAAAATTTAATGGCTCGGCCACAATATCTTAGATTCCAAGAGGCGTCATCCCATAGGCTCAAAGCATTGTCATGCCCCTGCGAGAGATCTCAGAGTACATGAACTTGAGATCTGAATTGCTGAGTAGTATGGATAAGTCTATCTATGCCATACTCGTCAAAGCAAAGAAAACTAGAATTCCCAATACCACAAGAATCGAAGAGAGGATACTTTGTTTCTAGTCCCAACCAAGTTGGTGGTAGTTTTGTTTCCATCTGAAGAAGGATTCAAAATTGAAATTTATTTTGTTTTTTAGATTAGATTTAGTTTCTATATTCAATTAAATTTCACCTGAACAGGTAGTTTTTGAAATGGTGCATTAACTCGGTTTTCTGTCAAGTCTTGTTTTAACTTTCTCTCGTATGTTTGCATGGTTAGTGACTAAATTCCAGATAAGCATTTCTTATTCTTAATGTGCAACCTAAGTTATACAGACAAACTATATATTCTTTAAAACTAACTATTTGAAAGTGAAATTGCAAATTCACTATTATAAGTTTAGTAAACACTATAAAAATGCCTAATAAACATGTATCTCCACAAAAATCTTAATCATACTAAGCTATCCTATAATAACTTATTCATAAATTATTTTGAAAAAAAATTAAAATAAGCTGAAAACATACATAATTACAACACATCACCTACAAGTTGAACCATCAAATAGATGGTAAAATGTAACTCACTCAACGATACATTGCTACAAGAGAGTGAATGCATCCCACTCAAAAAAGCAAGTGATGCTATGAAGAAATTTGATATTTTTTCCTTTCCTTTTCTCTTTCCAATTAAATGTAAATAGTAAGGGAGAATTCAAATAAAAACAGTAGAAAAATATACCACCACAATTTCAGGTAGTGTTTTACCGTATAAGCTAATTCTGTAAGTAGACCAAATACTCCCTAACTCTACTATTTCTTTCTTTCTCTCTGAATACAGTTACTCCGTGGAGGCACCACCATGGCGTTGCATTGCAACAACTGGCTCGCTGCACTTCAAACACCTAAATGATGAAGCGGCAGCGCATCGCGTCCGCAGACAATAGTAACAATATCTTGCAGAAAGAAATTAGAAAGCATTATTTAGCTGATGGCCGTTAATGAGAAACAGATTATTTTGAAGCATATATACATAATAGATTATAATTAGGGTCTACAAACATTAAACATCTGCAGGTTATTCAAAACTATCAGAAGTCATGGCAAGTGAAAAGCTCATAACAGAAAAAAAGATATAGTGATATGCTGAGTACATGTCCAGAGATGTACCTGTGCTGACACGGTAAAGCAACAAAAGGAATGATTGGAGTAGCCTGGCAAATGGGACATGCAGTGCTATCCTCAGACGAATTTGATGATTTATCCTTAGAAAAAGGCCAAAGAAGATTTCTCACAGATGATGAATTAAGAAGAGGAAGAAGCAACAGTAACATTTCCTGCCATCAGAACCAGACATAATTACCATCAAAGTTTGAGAAAATCATAAGCTAAATATGTTTGCAATTAAATTTTCCATTATATCCACAGGGATGCATCTAGTTGTGAAATAGCAACCAGCTGTTCCTGTTGGAATAAAATACCCAATACAACTCATACAACTAATAGTGACTCTGAGAATGCGCAAGCTCTTTTAGTACCCGAATGTTTATAAAACGAATGTGTCAAGTTGGGATTAAGCAGTTCAATTCATAAATCGTCAGAGATGATAGCACATGTCAACAACAGAAAGAATCTCAGATTCATTGAAAATTTAAAAGTTATGAATAACTGATTTCTGAGCATTCTAAGCAGTAGATAGAAAACAATGCATGCCACAATTTGTGCCCAATATATAGAGAGCTTAATGTAAATAAAACCTAGGTGATAAGAAATTTTAAAGGGTAAAAGTACCATGTTGCCATAGGATCCAACAAACTTTAGAGAACAAAAAAATGGATGAAGGGGAGAAGTACCGAAAATTCGTTCCAAACTAATTGTCGGTTCATATATTCAAAGCTAACAGCCCGGTTCATATTTGGGCTCCCATATACAAGCCTAGCTTGTAAGACTCTTTCAATAAGATTTCGGTATCTGCTTCAAAATAGCACACAGCGAGATAAGTTGTACTGAGCAAGTAAATCATGAGATAGTTTCATCAGAGGAAACATGAAGAACATTCAGACTAAAGAACATCCAAAGAAACAAAATGTGTTGTGTGAATTGTCTGGTTGTTCAAGAGAATCACCTTCCCGTGCAAAGAAATATCAACAGGTTTCCAAATGAAGCAGCTCTATAGATCCCTTCTATTCTTTGTATCAAGATCCATAATCGTCGTGCCAATGGTCTCTGAGAAACAAATCAAATTAGAGCCCGCTTCTATCCAAAATAGCCTACATGTTTGCAAGTTGGCAGTGTATGACTTGAGATCAGATTTAACAAAATACCTGCTCAGTATCACCCCACCTACGAAATGCTGAGAATGATTGTAAGCGAGCCCAAATATACTGACCACCAACAGTGGCAACACAATACCAAAGCTTCTGAGCAACGGTGAGTCCAGGTCCCTCCAGACCAGTTCTAACTGCATGGATAGTATCCAAAAGAATGAAAAGTTAATAAATAAATTACAAGGATGGACCATAGTTAAACATATCAGTATATCACTGATACAAGGATGGACAATATTTAAATTAAACAATCATTATGGTCCTTAAACGAGTTAGGCATTGTCACAATAGACCTAATTGTATTGAAATTGCAAACACATCCTCAAGTGTCGTTTTTATTAGCACTTTGATGCATTTAGGAACTATAGTAACAACGTCTCACATATTCCAGGATCAAAATGACTGTTTGCTCTTTGCTAAAGCAAGAAAACATCACATGATACTTTAAAACTTTAGCAGTGGGCTATATGACCATGGTGCAAGAGAGGTGATGAGCAAAAAAAATACAACGAAAACTTGAAAGAAGAGTTCAAACACCAGTGAACTAAAATTTCATTATCCAAAGCATCAACAGGATATCATCAATTGTTTCAAGGCCTAGTCACCCATCATGGAAGTAACTCTTTTTCAGTGGTTAACCTTTGCATTTTATCAGATAAGCAAATAGAATTCAGAACCATATCACAACTCTGAATGCCAGCTTATTGTAAATCAGGAATTACAGAAAATAATTGTCTGTTCAAATTTTACTGTGCTACAATGCTATAATGCTGCTAATCTGTTATAGCCTCTATTTGAAAACACTTTGTACTAAACTGCCTTTTGCGGAATTTTGGCGATTTGTTCAAATTCTTTGTGGAGCTATAGCACTATTTGATGATACTGGCTATATATCACTACAAAAAAATAAGATTCGGACCTTCCTACCTTTACCCCTTGATTCAACTGCACGCTCATCTCTATACCTCAAATTCATGAGAGCAATGCCAGGAGTTGGTTTATCCACCCAAATTGAGAATCTCCAAATAAGAAACTCAAGGAAAGCGTCAAGCTCAGCTTCATACTGAAATAGCATTCCTGGCTAATCCCAAAAAACAGTAAAAACAATAACTTTAAAATGTTGAAAACAGTTCCAAATTCGATAGTACAATTAGTCAATTAGTACTACCATTGAAATTCATTCATTCAACAATAAACAATATCAAAGTACCTTCATCAAAGTAAATACTTTAACCAACTGTTCTTTCAACATGGCAGACATTTCAATGTCCAATCTTGCAGCATCAACTTGGTTAACTCTCGATATTGAAATTGGGATCCTTGACTGCACAAAATAGAAATATTAATTTAAAAAACACTATGCAACTTGATCAAGCACCCAATTTTGAAATTGAAAATTGACAAACTAGATTCTATCATAAAGTGTCTAGAGTTAGTTCACAATTAGTAGAACTGGGTGAATGAGGAATTAGGGTTGGGAAAACCCTAAAACGAAAAAAAAAAGTATAAGAGATTGGGGAATTGAAACAAACCTGGCGAGAGAGGGAAACGGGAATCCAGCGAGGGAGCAGATTGTGGGAAGTGAGAGTCCATGCATCTTGTGGTGGAACCGAAGATAGAGTAGTGCTGCTCATTGGAGGAAGATGAATGATGGTGAAGGAATGTTTGTTGTGTCCATGCACCGTATGTGTTTGCTTTTTAGTTTAGAGAGAGAGAGAGAGAGAGAGAGAGAGAGAGAGAGAGAGAGAGAGAGACCGCATGTCATCGATTCGACCGTGTGAGCGGAATCGAATTTAGTGAAATTTTGGTGGATTAATCGTAATTTGGCTGAATTTAATATTTATTCAATTAATCACCCCCTTTTAACAAATTAATATCTAATAAATATAACAGTAGTTTATAAAGTGTATACATATTCTGAAATTCATAGTTTTTATATGAGCATTTGTGATACCATATATCAAATGATATATAACTTTATTCTAAGTGATACTAACACATGAATTAACCTTACCTTCGATTATGTATTAAAAAATAATGATTCGACGTCCGAAAACAAATGGTTAAACAATAGAGTAATGAAGTATCTGTCGTAAAAAGACGACTTAATTTCTATCGAAAAAATCATTAGCCGTTCTAAGATCTACGTCTAAATTATGCACGTCACGAAAGTGGGTGTCACACTTTTTTTTTACTTTTATATAAGAATCTCTCAAAATAATCTTGTCGTTGAAATTTGGAATTGCAACCATAGTCTCGTGTTCTATTTTTATCATTTGTTAATTTTTATTTTTTAAACTGCATCAAACAACTCTTTTGCGATAGTTTTAGCTAAACATAGTTAGAGCAAAATTTGATACTCACACACAATATCTTTGATTGAGATTGATCTTTTTATTACTTGACACAACCGTGCACTTATGAATCACACGCGGTCAAATTTTAGACGATGTTGCCAAGAAAATATTTTGATATTGAAATTTTGTTCTAACGTTATCTAGACTAAAACATTTTCTTGTTTTCTATTATTTTATTTTTCACAAAAAGTTATTTCTTTTTGAATGATTCTCGTGGAGAATTTATTCAAGAAATGGACAATTATATGAACCATGGTTCAGTAAGTTTGTACTTTGAAACCTATAATTCAAAATTGAACAATCACTCGAACTTTTCTACATTAATTATTCTCAGCACGTCGTGGGACCTTATAGTCCCATTACAACACAAAAATTTGACCCTCTTAGCGAAACAATCTAAATGAACAGATCTTGATTAAACCATTAATCACAAATCAAATATAATTAAGACTATCGAAATACCTCTTAAAGCGTGTTTTAACTTTGATCACGAACATGGAAAATACTAGGGGTGGACAAAAAATTCGAACCTGTCTGAGACCCGTTATGTCTGATCCAAAGTTTAATGAAACGGGCAGGTACACATGGGTGTCGGATGAAAAAATTGATAAATTTGGGTTACACTAGTTTTCTATTGTCGAATTCGAATGTTAAAAATGCATCCATTAAAATTCAGATCCGGCCGAATGTGTGATATTAGTATGATGCTAATAGTGTAATAAGACTGTAGTAGGGATACATAATAAAATATATAGTTGTTTCTTATGACTTTCTCTATTCCTTATGCCTTTAAAACCTATAATTCGCAATTTATTATTTAAAATTTATGTAATATAATTTGCTACAAAGCCATAATGATGTTCACGTGTACTTGCATTTTATTTTTCATTCATATGGTGTTTTCATTATTTTCTCTCTCTCCTTCACAATTGTTTTCTTCTCTCTCATTTTTCTCTCCAGACTCACACAACTCTTCATATATTCAAACATCATTTTTAACTTCTCCTTTTAGAACAGACGATCTCCATGTTGAGAGCTTTCTATTCCACTATTTTTAGTCCATGATAAAAGCTTAAGATTACCGTAAGTATTTAATGACAAGATGAAATACATATTGTTATATTTTTCTACTCAAATCTTCTCAAAAGTTGACATGTATTGTAAATCTAGCTTCAAAAGGAACTGAAATATATTACAAACCTTTAAAATAAAGGTTATTGTATTGATTGATTTTGGTTAAAAAAAATTTGTTTCTCATTTCATTTGTGAGTTCTTCTCTTTTGGTTCGAGTTTTTCGTTTTTAATTTTAATATTTTTTCACTTTGTCTTAGTGAAGTAACCGAAGAACCTACCCGTCAAACCCGTGATCCGAAAGAACTGCCACCCACTGAATCCGTTATGCAAAATGGACGGCAACAAGTTGAGATATTAAACCCATCGATTTTTTGCAGTGGACATTTTATGGCCTGAAACCGTCCGCATCCGACCGTTGTCCACCCCTATAAATACTATTATCTCTACGAAGTCCACGCGAGTAAAAAGTGAAAGGCGATGCTAACCATTTTCTGAGAATGACAAAAACTAAAAATAGGATTGGAGGAGAAACAACTTCCTTTTCTTAGATAGTTTTTAAAACCCTATTACTCTTATTTTAAACCTTTTCAAAATTTACCCCAATTATATTTGTATTTAATTAAACTCTTTTAATTAAATTAAATAATTAATTAAATTATATTTAATTTAATTAACTATCAATTCTCATTTATTCAATTAAAACATATTTAATTAAATAAATTATATATGTGTTAATATATTAAATAATTTAAATATTATTAACACATAATTAAATCTTATTTATTTTAATCATTCATTCCACTATAAGTACTCTATGTTGTGACAGAGGTGGCAAATCAGACCGTTCAACCCGCCTTAACTCTTTCAAAAAAGAGGCGAGGCAGACAAGTCCACCAAGTGAGATTGGATTTTAAAATCTAGTCCGCCCTGGGTTGGCGAGCGGCGGGTTTGCCAGCCTATTTATTTATTTATAATAGATTAATAGACTTACTTTTACATTTCAATTAGATTTTTCACTTATTTTTTAGAATAAATTTTTATAACACAACTTTTTGACAAATTTTACTTAAAAAATATTGAACATATTCACAAATAAATGTATCAAAGGAATCATCAACAAGTGTTCCAAAACTATAACTCAAGTATTAACTTTCAACCAACCAAAATAAATATTTTAAGTGCTTGATAACTAGGTTGGGGGGCTAGCAGGCTAATCGATCCTTTTTTTTGCGAGCTTAAGGCGCGGCGGGTTCAGCGGGTAGACGAGCACAAAATCTCAATCCAATTTGCTATATTTTGGCGGGTGCGCGGGTCGATCCAACAGGTCACAAACCGTTTTTCTACCCATATGTGAGATTCTGTAGGTTCTTGTAACGTTGACAATAATATTAAATAACATATTAAATATTATAAATAGTGAGCGATATCTAGCAACATATTGCTGCTACCCAAGTGACGAAAATGTCATGTGATTTGAAATGATTTTTCTATGATAATGATCATGTGTACAATTACCTTTTTGTCCTTATATCTTTATTGAATATAAGGCATAAAATGTGTCACCCTTGTATAGTCCAATGTTTTATTTCCTGATCCCTGAGTATACTTGATAACAACAAATAAGCTCAATATTTCATTGACTTATTTGAACACGACCATGTATTTTACAGTTATACTCGGTCAAAAGCCTATAGATATTACTCACGTATGTGTAAGATAGGAAAATCTCATCTAGGTCACTCAGACCCATCATCATGATTTAGAAAGTATCTATCAACCATCTTTATGGTCATCCTGTTACGAACAATGTTTGATTGAGAAGAAAGTACTTGACTCCACATCTATGGTCCATAATGGTTTCAGATCAAAAGGTGATATACACCATTATCACTATGAGAAAAACTTATGACACTTATAGAACATATTATGTGGTATTCTCAGGATGAGTTAATCCAATATAAATATTACTCATAATATTCATACATATGTGAAGATTTGATATCTCATATCTATGATTCGCGAGATAAAGTCATCAACCTCTCACATAATAGTCTCTATGCATTATTGTTGTCATATTTGACACTAAATCTTGACTACAAATACTTTAAGAATAACATCCATGTGTTTAATGAGGTCTCACAATTATGTCACACTTAATGTATCATTAAATAGATTGATTATTATAAGGACTTTATCATGTCATAAACAAGTAACATAATAAATATAATGTCTAATAAGTATATATATTAACAAACAATATATATCAAGGTCATGATACAAAAGCATATACAACTAATATTGATTGAATATTAGGTCCTACTCCAACAAATCCAATTAAGATGGAAGGAAGAATTCACTCTTAGGCTTTCCATTTGGAGAATAATTATTGCCTATGAGCAATCCACTCTTCACCCAAGGCCAAAAAATATATTCCTCCAACAAAATAGTAAAGCGCAAAGGATTATAGTGCATACCGCTATGATTCACAAAGTAAAGAATCCAGAGAAAGAAGATACATCCATATTCATATTCATATTACAATACAAATTATTCTACACACAAGCCTTAAATGCAACCAGAAATAAAGTTACAATATGCTCACTTAATCCTACCTTTTATTAATAGCTTACAAGCTTTTAGACCAATAGTCTCTAAATTTATGTCAGGATTCAACACCCAAACTTGAGCAACGACATTTTCAAAACTCTAAATATGAATGATAGTAATCTTTATCTCATACTCAAAATACAGTTGGCCAAGCCGATATACCTTGGAACTTAATTCAAATATTATCTTTTTATCTCAAAGACGGGCTTTTTGATGAATCCTCTATAACTATGTGTTTTCTGAAACTAAAAAACAACATTGATTTTAGTCTCTTCAAATCCAATAAAGAATAATAATGAAGCAAGAAATGCTAACGTCATAAAATAAACTCCAATACATGCCTCATATAGCCAAAGTATCACCTTTCACGACAGAGAAAAGAGTCACGGAAAATATAAGGCATGAAGGGGGCCGCTTACTCAAAATCTACATAGCTCTTAATCATTCAAAAAGATTCATTGTCCCCATCTTTTTGTTTTTAAAGGTCAAAACATAGCTCTTCCTCACTCGCATTGAAATGATCGTTCAACCAACATTAATTAAAGCATGGTTTACAAGACTTATTAATGATGCGCATCAACTCATGGGAATCTTTG